TATTCTAAAATCGAAAGCCTCTCTAAATTGGCCTTAATGTAGAGACCCCAGCGTTCTGTCTGTAGCTGTCATGTCTTGTCATGTCATGTCTTGGGTGTTCCCGTGTCCTTCCCTCCTCTGATTTATGTCTTATAAGGCAAATTGTTGGGTGGATAGGAGACGAGATCCGTGTATGTTAAATCGCAGTTAGGATGAATTCCTTTGTAATTCAGATAGGGTTTTAAGGGTCAGAATTTCATATTTTACAACGACCGCGAATCCCAGTCTTTGTATTTTCGATAATACTACTTTCATAAAATTCCATATATGTATTTTGAAAGACTTATTTTGCGTCTTTTAAAATTATCTCAATAGATTTCGAATCACTGCTTATGATATTATAGCCTTCAGTACTTAATAGCCTGTTTGTTTCCATAAATCTTATAATAAATAAATTTACGTATTGGCAACAACAATATCCATGATGAATCTATAGACAGTAAATAGCAGAAAGTCTGTAAAATACCTTAAAATCTGAGTTCACACGGCGCAGTTATCACAAACACTATTCTAATAATCACGACCCATAAGCTACCCTTTGTGTCTGTCTGTCCCGTCTGACGCTTCGATATCCCGGAGTATTCTATCCATTCCCCCCTATCTATTTGTGATGAGCAAAGGGGGAGGGTTGGGTCAGCCCTTATGACCTCCCTTCGTCCCACACCCCGAGCCGGAGCTGACGTAGGTCCCACGTGACAGACGAGGAGGAGCGCTGGGTTGTGTACCGGGACAGTGTATACGTTCCCGTGTTTGTACTGCTCTCCGTTCTGCCACTCATTCACGACCTTTACTCGTCAAAAATCGTGGAAATAGGGACGGGGGGGAGGTAGGAGGTGTCTTAGGTCTCGTCTAAACAATAATTTAGGGAATATAGACGTGACGGAAGTTCTGATGCTTGTTGACGAAGGCTTTGAATCCTGCAATGAATTATGGAGACAGGAATTTCTTTTCAGTAAGATTGGTATGTCATTATTTTCTATCGACGTTGAATAAAAGGAATTATCATTTTTCTGTATTCACTGAGAGATTTGTCAGTCATTATAATCTCTCTCTCTCTCTCTCTCTCTCCGTCTCTCTGTCTGTCTCCTCTCTCTTTCTCTCTCTTCTCTCTCTCTCTCTCTCTCGTCTCTCTCTCCTCTTCTCTCTCTCTCTCTCTCCTCTCACCTTCCCCCCCGTCTCTCTCTCTCATTATCAATGTTTTCTATATAATGATGTACTTTATATATATGGTTTGATAAAAAAAAAAAATACATATAGCACTAGTATTTTTCAGCAACAAAACACATTCGAGGAAGAGGGAGGAGATTGTGTGCAGAATCTCGAACCCGAAGCCCTTTCACAAAGGAGTCCATAATGTAACTCGCTGCCTGAGTGTTTCCTCGAAAAAAAGAAAAGAAAAGAAAGAAAAGAAAAACGTTCGATTGATAGAAGAATAAGCAGAGGCCTGAATTGAAAACATTATTGTGTTGCCATCTGTCTGTGAGCTTCTATTCTTAATATTAACAATAGCAAGAGTAAGTCTGATGACACAAAATAAAACAATAGTCTTAGTAATAGTAGTAGTAATGGTAAAAACGAAAAAAAAGATAACTTTTTATACCTGCAGCACTTAGTCGTACCTTACAAATAACAACTACGTTTCTGTACCAATGGAGAGATGCCATAGGCTTCCCCAGATATAAAGAAGAATATATCAGACACAAACTAGGTAACAAGGGATCACGTGACCAAAACCCCAATCCGACACATCATGTATCAAATGAAGGTTTACGAAACCGCTTGTTCATATGGAGCTTCCTTCCGGTGTTGGTCTCACTACGAAATCCGAAAATAGAGACCTTGGCTTGTTTACAGCGTCGAAAAGTCGAATTACTGCAGGAAATTGGTTATAATTGGGTCATTTTATACTCTTTTTTAATTTAGATTGTTATATAGAACAGCAAACTTATCAAAAGAGGGAAGAGTAGCCGAATTACTTGATTCGAGACACGCCGAGAAGGTCATGCTTTCCAAAAACGGGTCTAAAATATAAATAAAGATACTTTCACACTGAATTTCTACAGCTTCAGATGAAATAAGTCTCAGCCAAACTCTTTCCATGTAAGGCTCGCCGAAGAGAGAGAGAGAGAGAGAGGAGAGAGAGAGAGAGAGAGAGAGAGAGAGAGAGAGAGAGAGAGAGAGAGAGAGAGAGAGAGAGAGAGAGAGGAGATAGAGAGAGAGGAGAGAGACAACAACAACCAATAAGCCCTGTAAGTACTTCGATGAGATATCACCTTTCATTCTCGCTTCTCGGATCGACTCTGCTGTGTCTGAGAAGAACTAATCAGCATGGTTTAAGATTAGCTCTCTATGCTGAATGGACTCTGCCGAGGGTCGAATAAGAACGCGCCATCCATACTCTGAGCTGAGTAATAGATAGAGGTATAGGCACAGTTACAGGACATGGCATGGAAAGTGTTTATTGACAGTTATATATTGACAGTTGTATAATTTTTGTTTGCTTATTTTTTGTTGTTGTTGATTTACATATTTGTTTATTTTTTTTCTATTTTCTACTATATTAGTACAAGCAGTGATGGAAGTGAAAAAGCAACAACGGAAGAATTACTTTGTCATTTAAAATAATAGTATAAATAATTAATAAATAGATAAAATAAATGATAAAATGAAATTTCGGCTTTTTCCTCTTCTAGGAGAAGCGGAGTTGTACTTAAGAGGAACTTCATAAGCTCTAAGACTACCTCTTCTTGCGGAATGGACTACGAACTACGGTCGTCGAGAGTTGTACAGGAAAGTGGCCTAGTGAGTGAATGTAGTTGATTATGGTATGTGTGTTATGGGTTGATTAAGAAACGGGGTCGTAAGTTTAACAATAAGGGGTGGATTGCCGGCTATTTAATTGATCTGTCGGTTGTAGAAGTAGTGATATTAAGTATAAAATAGAGAGAGAGAGAGAGAGAGAGAGAGAGAGAGAGAGAGAGAGAGAGAGAGAGAGAGAGACAGAGACAGACGAGACAGACAGACAGACAGGAGAGAGAGAGAGGAGCAGAGAAGATAGAAAGGAGAGAGAGGAGGGGGGGGGGGCAGAGAGAAGAAAGAAAGGAGAAGAGAGAGAGAGGAGAGAGAGAGAGAGAGAGAAGAGAGAGAGAGAGAGAGAGAGAGGAGAGAGAGAGAGAGAGAGAGAGAGAGAGAGAGAGGAGAGAGAGAGGGACAGAGAAGAGAAGCGAAAAAAAGGAGAGAGAGGGAGAGTGTGTGTGTGTTTAATGGTATGTGTATATATGTACTTTAAGTACTTCCAATAATGCTTTCTCCGTGGCTGAAAATACCTCCCCCCTTGCTTGTCCACCGCAGGCAAAATACACTGGATGAGTGTGAAGGTGTTTTGTATACCTGCATTAATTAATCAATATCAGTGAGAGGTGAGAGGAGCCACGGTGAGTGTTCTTAGAGAGGCGCACAGGAGCTACAGACGCCAATATTAGGAATTCTATAGGGGCGAAAGTTGCTTGTTATGTGAGGCACCTTTTCGGTTTGACAGCTGTAGATTTCTGTATGTATTATTCGGAGAAATATATAGAGCAACACTGTACTTCATTTTAATTGATATTGTTACCATCATTATCACTATTATAGTATGACCATTTATTGATAATACTGGTACCATAATGCCGCTGTCATGATTGTTAGAATTATCATTAATATAATCACACTGAGGACCTGTCTCTTTTACTATTCTTATTATCACTGATAATGAGAATAGTAATATCATAACCTGTGATGTTGTTATTACTATTATTATTCATATATTTCATATGGAACTTCAAGTAAGTATAGAACGTTGAAATATGTATAAGTACGATTTCATATGCAACCTCAAGTAATCATAAAATGTTGAAATATGTGTACGAAATGTGTACGTAACTGATTTTATCCGTTTATAATTGTGTGTGCGTCTATGTATCTTCATCCAAGCTCTCCCACATGTGTGTATGTTTCCGCGTGTGCGTATCCGTGCTTGCTCGTGTGCACAGATGTCCATATATGGCTTAAACCAGAGAGGACCCCTACTCAGCGAGATGACCAGGTAAAACCTAGTTAAGTTGAAGTACAGGTGAAGAGCAGGAGAGGAAGCCACATATTCAAAAGGAACCTGGAAGGGGAAAAGAAGGAAGAAAAGGAGAGAGAGAGTAAATGAATAAAGGGAGTGGATGAAGGATATTGCAAGGGAGGAGAATAAGAGAGAGACGAAGGAAGGGGAAAAATGAGAGGGCTGGAAGTTGAGTGAAAGGTAGATAGGAAAGGGGAAAATAAGAGGAAGTATGAGGTAGAGAAGAAGGAAGGATGATGGCCTGTGCAAAGAAAGGAGACGAGTGAAGGAAAACTGAAAGTGAAAAAAATATATATATAACCACAGTGAGGTACTTGTATGAAATTTCTCCAAGATATGTAGAGGAAAAGACATTATAAGGATAAGAAAGAAAAAAAATAAAGGAGACAGAATAACACACACACACACACACACACACACACACACACACACACAGGAAAGAGAGAGAGAGAGAGAGAGAGAGAGAGAGAGAGAGAGAGAAGAGAGAGAGAGAGAGAGAGAGAAGAGAGAGAGAGAGAGAGAGAGAGAGAGAGAGAGAGAGAGAGAAGAGAGAGAGAAAGAGAGAATGA